GATACCAGCCTCCACAAAATCATGAAGGAAAAGTATACAAGGGACAAGAGGAGAGTAATTTTGCTATTTTACCCTAATTAACATTGCAATTTATTTGCACTCTCTCCAAAATTAGAAAAAATATATATTTGGAACAAACTGACCTGATTTTAAATTTTTCTTCAGGCCTAACATAGAAATAGTAAACCGTGAACCGCAAATGAGCGCAGAACAATCGCTGTGAGATGAGCTCGATTTCATTAATCAACAGTCAGAGAAAAGGCAGTTCTAGGTGCCAAGCAGAGGGATGCTAGATGGCAGGATGCAGTGCATTCTTGCCTTCCCTAGTTTAATCAGGGAGAAGTTCCCTTCTGTATCTGAACTGCTGGCTAAAAAAAACAGTTTTCCACCATTTCAAATTTACTTTAAACAAGTAGCTTAGGTGAAAATCCTCATTTTGCTGCCTGATGACTGTGAATACATATTAAAAATTTATACTGACAAAAGCCTCATATAAATTCCATGGTCCTCTGCAAAGTCATCATAAAACACAGTGATAGATGCTGGCATGCTGTTTCGTTAAGGACACCTTTGATTCTGATTTATCAAGTCTAAAACAGATGCATATAGCTTTCCAAGGTATAAAACTACTGGAGAACTGATAACATGACATGCCACTATGCTGTTTCCTTGCTCCATTCCAACCTTTCCTCAACAAGAAGCACTATTTCAGCACCATGCCTCAACCTTTGTTCCATCTTCTCCTCTCGCCCCATGTGAATTTCAGAGGAAATTTATCATAGGCACAAATGTGTCTCAAATGCTTCACACATATTCATGAACCTTGCAACACTTGGTACCATTCCACATTCCTTAGCTCTCTAAATTGTTTGAGCGCTGAAAATACTTAGATACTGAATCATTTAGCACCAGTAGTACAGAATAGCAAGGAGTACCATCTCACAGGTATTGTGAGCATTGCATTCGGTACAAAAGAAATGCAGACAGTGAAACACTGTTGGTGGTACTGCACATTGAGACCACTGTTACTCTACTGACCACTAACAGTGGCAACAAAACTGCCAGATAGCTTCATTTTAGCCTTCATACGCGTTAAGCCTCCAGGAAAGCATACAGACTCTTCATTGTGTCTACCCACAGCAAAATCCTCATAATTTCAGAAGTAGAAGTGAAGGTTCAAATGATAGAGATCCAAAGCACTGTCAACCACTACCATCTGCCTTGCAATTTCTGAATAGTAATTTTGCAGCTTTGTAGAGCCGTACAGGAATAAATATCAAAGTTCAGAAAAATAGTGCAAGTCAGGAGCAGCATGCAGATGTTATTGTAAAAACTAAGTACCACCTTGAGACTCATATCCACTCTTTGAATGTCTTTATTCTCAGATGGAGGTACAAGAAAATGTCAAGAATGCAGCGTTTTTAATGATAGACGAGTGACAAAATGGCTTTAAGCCACAGAACCGAGTTTCAAAAGCCTTCAGAACTTACAGAAGGCTTTGCAACTGAAGCAGTGCTTCAACTTCCCTCTCCTCTGTAGCTAAGCACGGTTCCCATGACTGAGCTGTTGCACAACCACTCCATTTAGACGAGGAACTGTCAAAATCCCTCATGCTCACACTGAAACCTACCAACTAGAGAGGGTTTGGCGTGGTTATACCGATCCTCTCCTGCCATCTAGGGGACTCATACTGATGTACAACAATAGGAACAGCAGACTGGCTTCACAGATATACAGAAGTACGTAGCCTAGTCCAGCACTACTGAGTTAATCATGAATATTTCTACAGTAAATTTCTGTGAAACACACAACAAAAACACTGAGGTGATAATTTAAACCTCATTTTAAGAAAAATATGCATTCTTAGAATTACTTGGCTATATAAGGAGCTTTTCGATTTTCCCTGCATACGCCGAGAGTAAGATGTATAAACTGTGTATAATTATCAACAGCAAATACAAAGAGGAATAAAAGATCAATATGTGTGGCCCCAGAAACTGAGAAAGTTAGTCAAAACACCCTTGTACTGCACCTGATATTAAAAATACTCCACTCAGTGCCAAAGCTTAGATTGGGAAGATTTAGATTTCTTCCCAATCTACCATTCATAATGAAGCACCAACTTTTTCAGAGCCTCATCCTCATTCCTGCATCGCAAGCAGGGCAGAACCTTGGAACCAATGCCCCCCCACCACCTGTGCAGACAACATGATGACCTTAGCAAAAGTAAAATATAAAATACTCAACATCAAAACATCATCACATGAATTTAACATGAAAGAATAAAAGCAGCAAAATGCTAAGTGCAGTCACACAAATGCACCCACACAATAATCCAAGCAAGCTCTTTTTCTGCTCTTCCATTTGGATTTGTTTTCCTGACTTTGAAAGGGAACATTAAAACAAACACTTCAATAAAACAAACACAGACCCATATTCCCACAGCTGAACTGATGTGAGAGCCTCCTCGGGATCAAAGCTGCAACTCTTTTTCTGGAATAAAAGGAAGCAGGTGCCCAACGAAGATGTTCCGTGAAGTGGCTGCATTTGCAATAGATGCTGGCCCCGATTCTCAATATGAATTACTCAATATGAGTTACTACTCTTCATATTAGAATTGAGGTTTGACAAGACTCTAACTCTGGGATTTGGGAGCTGCAGGGTGGACTTTGGACTCAGGCCCATCTTTGCCCTAAAAGTTTGTATGGCTGTGGGTGAATTGTGTTACTTATTCATGTCAGTGAACATGACTGCAAGTTTGAAACAAGAGCCAAGGAGGCAACAGGACCCATTTTGTGCCACTGCCAGATCAGAATTTCCTTTTGTTCAAAACTCTGCAAGGGTCACTCCAGCATATTTTAAAGAAAATAATTTCCTGTGTGCCAGTATTTACAAAGAAAATCTCTATCCAGAAGGTTAAGAGCTAGAGCTAGCCTTGTAATTTCTCAGTTTCAACTAGGGCACTGTCTCAGAGCTGATAAAAAGAGGGCAAATGATGATACATTTATCTTCTGACACTCCAGCAATATTTGGCAAGAGTGTAGTCAAATTTAACTGAGTTTTTTCTGAAGAGTGAACATTCTGGACCAAATCAATGATTCAGACCTGTTCCTCAAAGTATCTTAGGAAAGGTAGATTTGAACTTGCTATACATAAACTTATTCTCCCTGTTTCACTGTGATTCCGCCCCAGAGAAAGGATGGAAGGCAAAATGCTCCCCTTAAAAAAAAAAAAAATTACAGAACAACTCTTCAATTAATTTTATTTTGCTAAAAATATTTTTCATAGCTCTGGCCATGTTCTCTTTCCATTACCATGTGCAGTTTAAACAAGTGGGGAGAAAAACAATGCTATTTTGAGAATATCAAAGCTCTTGATCACTTCAGCAGGAAGTTTCCAAAAATAAACAATCTGGATGGAAAGAGTGAGAACGAAGCTTCAACAGGGACCACAACTGCATGAAGGCACTGTGTCAACCCAACTAGGGCAGCACAGCACAAAGCTGTATAAGTCACTGTGGGCTCTCGGACAGCACACATTCTAGAAGGAAAAAAAAAAATCTGTGTTGGATAGCAAGTTTTAAATTCTATGCAGAAGAAATTAGAAAAAGACAATTAGAAACTGCCAGTGCTGACAGGTATCAAAGGGGACTGTGACATAGATACTGAGTTTAGCCAGGCAGGCTATGCTTCAGGAAATAATATACATTTAGGACCTTTCAACTTAATACACTTAGTAATCATGAAGAAGTCACACTCTGTCAAAGGAGAACTTGTGCCTATGAAATCTGACTCAGACTCCAGCTGTCTGAAAACAAATTTAGGTCACATTGGACAGACCTGGACATAATGGACAGAGTCCTACGTAGGGACACCAAGACGGTCAAGCAATTGGAAAATCTTTCCTGTGAGGAGACACTGGACTATTCAGCCCAGAGGAGGCTCAAATAGGACCTCGTTGACATGGAAAAATACCTCAAGTATTTGTGCGAAGAGGACAGAGCCAGTCCTGTCAGTGGCAGGATCAGAGGCAATGAACACAGACCATAAGTGAACTCTGGGAAGAAGGGCACCAGATTGACAGCGGAATTTTTGTTTTAAAATGGATAAGTGGTTCAGTTAAAATCAACTGTAAAGTGGACTGCTTTATAACGTTGCAGCTTTCCCAGCACTGACTTTTTTTTTTTTTCCAAAAGTTTGTTGATGCTAACAAGGCTAAAATTATTCATGGCTATGTTAGGCAAAACATTACCAGCAGCACTGATAGAGGTTGCACAGAAAGATGGTAAGAGTCTCAGTCCTTGGAGATCTTCAAAAGTCACATGGATGTGGTCCCAGCATCCTGCCTCAGGTGGTCCTCTAAATGGCAGGAAATAGGGTTACATGTACAGCATAGATCCTTTACAGCCTCAACCATTCTATGATTCACTGAAAAAACTGCATACGTTTTGTTAACAAGTGTGTAGACAGTAAATAAGTTTTACAGAAAGTTCTGTATTTCCTTTTTGTACCATTTAAAATAGTCATTGGGTCTTCTGCAGCTGAGGAGGGAACAGTTTTCCTTCCCTTCTCTACCATATTGTTCACAGTCACTATAGATTGCAAATATACCTTATTAGATTTTTAAAAAATTACATTTTACCTTTGTAGGCAGTGTTTTAGGCTCTGAAAGTGATGAAGAATACCAACTCAAAAATTCTGCATCAAAAAGCAGCAATGCTGTTGGCAAGCGGATATCATAACTGGAAAACTGTTGTAATAAACTAATAAGAAAGCTGGTAAAATTCATTGCTATTGTCAAAAATTACTTTCCCTGTAAAGGTATTCAAAGGTCTTTAAGAAGTGATAAGGAACTAAAACTTCTTTAAATTAAATTCAATTCTAATAAGGAAGAACCAGCCGTGAATTGCTAAATATACAGAATTACATCCTAAATTATACAGACATCAAACTGAAAATAAATTTAAATTACAAATGGAGATCAAGTCACCAAACAAGAAACCCATTCACAGTATTGTTTATTTTTTCATTTATAATTTAAGAACAAAACTTACTTTCATGAATTTGAACAGTTAGCATGAACTTCACAGCAAGAAGCTTTAGCATCAGATCTTTAACTTGTCTTCCATTTTTTTTTCTGAAGTACAGTTTTGGTCTACATTGTTTTCTGCACATTTTGACTTGACAGTCAACACAGTCTTTCTCTTGAATGTGACTTTTGCTAGCCAGCACTAATACATAACTTTGTTCAACCAATCACCAATTCCAGATGTATTCTGAGCCTCCTTTTAGCACAATGCATTTGATGGTATTTTTAAAGTTTGTTAAGGCTTTGTTCAAATATAAATGGAACTAAATTGAAAATTTACAAAAGTTAAAACTTTTTTTTTTTTTAAAAAACTCTTTTTAAACTGTTCTTGAAATTATCAAAACCATTTTATCATTAAAGAACTCCAGCCAATTAGTGAAATGCTTCTAATGGCCAGGCTCCAAGCAGTGTTCAGGCATGCATAAGTACAGAACATCTCCTTTGGAAGCCTGCCAAGCATTTATGTAGATTATGTATCTCATTGCTGGTGGGATTGCACTAGTAATTGAGAGCCTAGTTTTGTTCTTTTCTTTTTCTTCCCTCTGGGTTTGGGCTTTGTTTGTACCTAATGTGCTCAATTAATTAACCCTGTTGTTTCAGATTCTCTTTACAGATCTAATTCTATCACCTTCAAGTTGAATTAAGAGTTATTAAGCCCAACCTTTCGCCACCTGTTTTTTAATTGGAAGCTCTCTACTTTTAAACTTCCAGTTCCTAAGTTTTACAAAGTATAGAATTAGTTTTCCACTCCCACAAATAAGATTAAAAAAAAAACAACCAAGGCAATATATTTTCTCTGCAATGAAAACTGAAAACATTCACATAAATGTCAAGATAAGCTTCATTGTGAAGTCCATAGATGTAGCACCATGATTTTGTTCTGTTTGTGTTTGGCTTCCCTTTTGAGTATACATTCATTTGGAAAACATCATTCTTACCAAAAAGGTAAGGCTCATGTATATACAGTATTCAAAATGTTAACAGATTACAACAAGTCTACACATAAAACTGACTGCCATGGTTCCAAATATAATTATCAAGAGGTTTATTTAAAAAAAAAAAAAAAAAAAAAAAAAAAAAAAAAAAAAAAAGAAAATGTTTTCAAGGTCTAAATGAATAAACCAACACTAAATAAGAAAACTTATTCACTGTGCAAAGATCTATTTTCAGGTAAACAAAAAGGAATCATAAGCTACAACTACTCATCAAACAAAATGAGAATAATAGATTTCTTTTAAGGCAGAAATTAAATTATATACCAGGTTAAAAGCTGCCTTAATATTAACTACAACTAACTCCTTCAGCATTTAAAATTTGGCATTAATATCTATTAACCATTGTGTTGGGTAGAACTCCACTGATATTCCAAGAAGCCCAACTTTAGAAACTGAAAACAATACCAGAGTAAAGTCAACCTACTAACTACTTCTGCCATTATTAAACAAAATATCTAGTTTTATGTTAGTAAGTTATAGAAACTTTTTAGAAAGTAGTAATATGAAATATTGGCAATGAAAAAACAGATTTTAAAAAGCTATCACTGAAAAAGTTAGAATACATAGTCAGAGAAATTTAAATGTTTAAAAACAGATTCACATATGTCCATCCAGTTGAAGATTAGTGTATTAAAAAATGTTAAGAAAATACTTTGTTTCAGTTCAACTGCACTTGATTCAAGTACAGTTTGGAGATTGGCTGATATAAATTAAACATGGTCACTGGCTCAGCAGCCAGAAGTACTGAAAAATGTACATGTTCACAGGATAAACAGAAGTCTCTTCCTTTGAATAAAAAAAACAAACAGCTATCTCACTCCAATGCGGGAGGTCATCCACTCCAAGCCTTGGCATAACCTGAAAGATAGAGATACACTATATTGGTACTAGTTTTGTTCCAACATCTTAAAAGCGTTCTTAAAATAAACTACTAAAAATAAATAAATCAAATTGGAATTATGAACTGAATAAATAAAGCTAAGCCTTCCTAGGCATTAACAATAAAAAGTTGATCAAGCATGCTATTTTATGGAGGCTTGACACTCTCTCACTTATTTTCTTCTACAGCTAAAAGATGCTACTTTTCACTTAGAAATATGGGACCATATAATGAGAAACTGTCTCCTTGAACACTACAGACTTTTCAGACTAGGAGTAAAAGACAAAGAGTAGGTTACTCAGACTGAACTGGTTCAAGAAAAGGCAGTGTATTAAGAATTCAACAGCCCCATACAAAACTGTAAGCTAGTTTTTATTGAACACCAGGATTGCATGGGATCTAACCTGCCTTCTCTCTCAATCTGCATTTCAAATGTATCCCTAGATTAGATCTCTCCCAGATTCTGCAGAGAATTCCAGCTAGTGAACTAACTGGATTTTTTTTCTTAATGAGTTGGCATTGCTACTGTCACAGTCTAGTTATTCTAGAGAAATTCTAGTTATTCATTTTGATTTATTATTTTTTATAAGAAAGAAGTGTGGATGATCAGTGTTTCTAAACTGCCGTTCAAAAATTTCTCTTTTCCTGAACAGCAGCATGTTCAAAGATCTAAATTCATACATTAACAATTCAAAACTGACGTTGGTAAAACTGGTAGGAAGTAAGCAGAGTTAACTCTCAGAATGAAACAATGCAATCCAAACATTCAATTAAAAAGAGTCAATTCTTACTAGCCCATCCCATCCTACAAATGAAAGTTGCCAATCACTTTACAATGCACTTTACAATGTTTACAATACAACATTAGAAAATACTTCATGCCAGAATTGAGAAAGATCTTCCTACTCCCCAATACTCAGTTGTACTATTTGTGATGCCACAAGATCACACAGCTTTAAAGACTGTATAACGCAGCTGAAAAGACTTTAAGTATTAAATGTTAGTAAACTACTTTAAAAATTAAGATGAAAAAAAAAATCAGTGACCCTATTTATCACATATGTTATGTGTACTTAAATAGTAAAAATTTACCCTTCTCCTGTCAAAGCACAACAAGACTGAATGTGCCATGGGTGATCCTTTATGGAGCTAAGGGTGAGGTATGTAGATATCTCAGCAGCTGTCATGCAACCCTTCATGTCCTGCTTGTTTGCAAAGATGAGAACTGCAGCCTTCCGTAAATCCTAAAAGTAATTTAGAATATACACAATTGTTATACTAACAAGCTACAGTGTTAACTATATTTCTCAGAAGAACTGCATTCAAGCTACAGTTACATAGTACCATGCTGTTACAACAGGCTTACAGCAGTAGAAATTGATTACATTACTGAAGAAAACAATTTATTTTGAGGTATTTTCCAGCACAGGAAATCAAATCATCATGCGTAATATTGCTACCCTTTTGCTTTTGTCCATAAATTAATTAAATGGAGTCTTGCTAACATGCATTTTGCAGAGCTCCACATCATCCAGACAGTAGAATTATCCCCAGATAAACATCCTAAAATCTCTATCATATGCTATTCAAACAGAAAATGCTAGATATCATTTCCTTGAAATTAGTTTCCACTTCATTAAACAGGTTCTGTGCTGGTAAACAAAAAGTAACAACTTAAAAAACGAGGTTAACTACTTTTAAAATTCTACTGTTCCAAAGAGATTTCTAATAATGCTGCTGCAGCTCTAGGGAAAAACAAAAACAACAACAACAAAAAAAAAACCCCAGAAGTTAATACAAAATTGTTTGCCCCTGTATGGAAATTAGGATTCCACAAAGCAATGAAACAAGAGCTGGAGATGCTCAGGTTTAGGAGCAAAGAAGGGAAAAATAACATAATATGCAGGCAGCTGGTAGCATCAATTACAAGTGTTTACCATATTTAGATATGTCTTAAAGTTTCAAGATAATTTTTCCATCAATAGAAAAACAAAAATGTACATGGTCTAAAGATGAAAATTCACTATTACAAGTCGACCTCATTACAATCGAGTCCTACTGATAATTTCCAAGAGATGACAGATGACAATCTGAGACCTTACAACACTAGTAACTAGTGAATTACAATTTAAGTTTCATCACAAAAAGCCATCTTTCCACCTTTTTAGGTAAAATATTTGCTCCCTGTCCAGATTCAAACTACATGAAAGAGTTTTTACTTCCAAATTTATTTGAAACACTGCAAATCCCCTAGAGAAATTAACTCAATGGCTCCTTTGCACTGCACCAAATACTTTTTCTGCAAAGATATTTAAGATTTTAAAACAACCCTAAGTCAGCTAGAGTGTGATTACTGGAGGTTTTAGTGTATTTTGCCTAATCCAATATATTCCTAAACAGAGACCCCAATATAACATAAAGCTACAAATAAAATAATTCAGAAGAAAACTGAATGTTCCCACAGTATTGTATATGGTACTTAATTTTAAGAAACAGAATTAAAACAAGAGAATTCAAATTGCCTATATATTTATTTTTTAATTTTCACCATTAAGTAAAAAAGCAGTAGAGAACAAGAATAGCCAATGACACTAACATGAAGTAACTAAAATTGAAGATAAAAGTTCAAGATTTACAAAGAGCGATTTAATTATAATCAAGTAAAAGCTGATTTGATTACAATTACATTACAATTACACTAGAAGATTGCTTCATTACAGTTTTTCTATTTATGCTTAACATACAGTTCTAAACCATGCCCAACAGGCATGCACATAAAAGCTCAATTTTTCTGTCAGTTTGACTTTCGTTAACATAGGAAGCATGTAATGCTATTAGACTGTTCATCACAAAAGAAAGCAACTGTCCCAATCCCTAGCTTACCTCATGAGCCAGCATTCTATAAAGTTCTTCTTTTGTAATAGAAAGTCGCTCTCTGTCAATGCTGTCAACAACGAGAATGATGAACTAAGGAAAAAATACCATAAAACATAAGTACAAAGTCTAAATTACAGAAATCATGTTTTCAAGAGACCATTACCACAGGTCTTCCTACATGACACAGAAGTGGACTTTCTGAGCATGTTAGAAAATAGAACAAGAGGTTCACTGTTACAGTCTTTCACTAGAGCCCCAGGAATCATACACAGAGACTGACTGCATTTCAGCACTGCCATTAAGATCTATTTCTGTGTACTGCAGTTAAATCTTCCAGTTGGATTTTCAGTCCCTGCATCATAAGCAAAATAGTGGTGCAGGTACCAAAAGGAGATAGTGGATCCTACAGATCATGGATCACTCTTACAATCAGGATGACCTGCTACACATTAACCAATGAAAACAGCTATTCCTGCCCACTACTACTGGCATGCTCAGAAAAACAACAACAAAAAAATCTTTATTTTGAAAGAACTTCTAGCAATTCACCACTATATAACTCACATGAATTAAAAAAAAAAAAAAAAAAAAGTTATTTCAGAATTGTACAGCAGACCTCAAGAAAGCTATTTACCTGGAGGGTTTTGCATGATGTTATTGCACAATACCTTAACCTTATTAAGTTAGCTTCTTACAACTTAGCACCTTGTAGTTACGTACTCAGAGACAGCTATGGCAGTGAATTTACCCTTTTTATGCTTGCCAGGCATTCACATGGCCAGACACTTTTGAAACACTGCTACACACAAGATTTACCATGGGAGGCAATTCTCACTAGTGTGAAAGTTACTCTTTAATCTCACTTTCTCTATTCCTTCTAGTTCACAGCCTTATAATAGCAAAAAAAAAAAAAAAAAAGACTGTGACAGTCAGTAATGTTCTCTTAAATATTTTGTATACATTATGCAACATCCATACACAATTCAGTGTTCACATTCAGTGAAAAAATACTGCATTTGTAACATTTTGGCCACTGGCAAGTTCTTTCAAACCATGGTGCATTACCACTACCTTGTGACTTCTACACAGCTAGGATCTCCTTTCCTTTGAATAAAAGCCACAAGCTGATACTTTCTAAATTCTGCTGCCTACATGAGAGTTTTGTTCATTATCCTTAATTATTATTACCTCAAAAGCTTTTTAGACCAGATGTACTGAATTTAACTACTGCAATCCTCACTGTATTTCTAAAGTACATAGTAGAATTTGCTTTATAATCCACTTGAAAAGAACACTAAAGACCTCAATTTGATTTTTAATTTCATTTAAGGTCATTATATTGCCTAGAACGTAAAATGTTACGAGGAAATTGGCTTCATTTCGGAAACACATCACGATTTGTGGATTTGTTCCTTCTTAAAAGGATGAAAACAGTACAGCTACAAACTTCATAAAAACTATCAATATTTCTAGTTAAAAAAAAACAACAACATAATTTTAAACAAATGTACCGAATCTGCGTATTTTAAAGAAACTTTTCATACCTCCGTGTTTGAATAGTAGGTATTCCATGATGACCTTAAGGATTCTTGTCCTCCAATATCCCACATTAAGAAATGGGTATTTTTCACCACTATTTCTTCTACATTGCTTCCTATGGTTGGAGAAGTATGAACCACTTCGTTCATTAAGCTAAAGGAAACAACAGCACATCATAAGGACCAGTCAGTAAAATTCACAAGACTTGTCAATAACAAGAAATATGTTGCAAAAGCATTTCTAACTTCAATAAAGAAGTTGAAAGACTAGGAATTTTTCAAGTTACACATTCACATTCTTAAGGTAATGAAGTAAAGAGATTAGTTAAATGTGAATTTAGCTTGGAGACTATGGTTGACAAAATTCTTGTCTTGTTTTTGTATCACACTACAGATACCAGCAATGGGAAGTAAGCACGTTAAAAGCCTTGTAACAAATGCAGATGCATCTGCAATTTAACAGTGCTCTCTCATTAAAAAGACACTACTGGGTTCTTAAAAATGCATGTTTCAAAAGGAGTTGTGATTTCTGAAGATCGCAAATAAAAAGAACATTCAATTGTGCAAAATACAAATCAAAATACAGTGTAATCAAAGCACTTGACTTCACAACCTGACCTCAGACCAGGATCCCCTGGATTCTTAGCTGGGAATTTCTCAGTTCTACCTTCAAGCTTTGGCAAAGTACATAGGAAGGGGCTTTTTTTTGTTTTATCTTTTAAAAGGTATCCTCTGTTGCCTTCATACCCAAACATACGGATAGCCAATTCATTATGTACTTCCCCTTATCTGCAGTCACCAACAGCAACCAGGTTCCTGTCAATATCCTTGGATTTATCACAGATATTCCTGCAAGGCTGGCAAGATTTGGGAGTGATACAACACAGTGCAGTGATGCTATTGAAAAAGTTTATGGTAGGACCCAAGTGCAATGAAATACTATTATTAGGAAATCTTCCATCACAAGTCTTAGACATTGCATACAGGAAGCATTTGGAAACGTTCATGGATTATGCAGGGTGGCTACAATTCTCATTAATTTAAAAATCAAATTCTCTGCATTTCGTGGTCACAGGATTATTATTTTTTTTTCAATTCTTAGTAATAAAAACAGGCTTTGATAACAAGGGAATTTGCAGGTTGTTTGCATATATAATTTTAATAACTAATAAACAATTTATAATTCATTGTAAGAACACTGCAGTTCCTTCACTTTGGATGTCAAACCAAGCACGTTCAGAACAACTAATGCCACTTAGCATGTGATTTAGCACAGCCCTAGAGATTCTGGTAGGTTGCAAAATGGAATATTCAACATTAAATTAGTGACAAATACTAACATGTAAGCAGAATAACAAATCTGAATGATAGAATCATTAAGGCTGGAAAAGACTCCTAAGGTCATCCAGTCCAGCCATCAGCCTACCACAAATACAGCCCACCAACAGTATGTATACTTACAACTGGTAAAGAATGGTCGTCTTTCCAGCATTATCAAGCCCCACTATGATTACTTTATGCTCTGTGTATAAGGAAAGAAAGACAAGAATGAACTAGTGGAAATAATAATAATTCTGGTTAATCACTTTTTCCTCAATTGAGAAAGCAACAGCACTTTTGCCCAAGTTCAATAGCCTACACAGCCTCCAGGGGAAAAAAAAGAAAAATAACCAAAAGTCCCCCCCTTCTGGGGACTACAGCTTAAGGACAAATCAGCATTGGAAGCCTTCATACGGCTTTCCTTCATAAGGAATGCTTACCCATACGGTTACTTCATTTAAAATATATGCATTTTAGAAAGATAAATAGAAATAAAAACATTCACTTGAAAGAAACATCCATATTAACACTTGTAATTCAACATAGTCAAACCACCTAAAGTTACTGAGAATTTACCAAGAGCTAGTTTTCCAGAGCATGGATCAGTCTGCTGCTCCTCAGTCACGCAAAGCGCATCCAAAGATTGCTGCAAACACAGTCTAAGTCGTAAGGCTTAACAGCAGCCAATAGTTAAGGAACTGCTACCATTTGAATGGTAAAAGGAGGAAGCTGTATTTTCAATAAATCCCAATTTCCAGCACTCCAACTCTGAAAAGTTCTCCTTACATAACATTGGATGTCCCCGGTGCAGGGGAAACAGAGAACTCCAGAATATATTCTTTGTACTTACTCCTTTTTAGAATTTCAAATACGACGACAGCCAATTACTATGTGATTTTTTTGATACATATCTGAAGTTAGAAGATACTGATCTGCTTGTTGATAAAAACCAAAGCACTTGAGAATAGAGAGGTTACAAATATAACATATGGAAAACTAGTAAAAATAAAAAAAAACTTGTGAACAGTCTTTAGATTTTTTTTTTCCCATGAGATACACTCCAACAAGTTTATTTCCCTGTACTAATTTCCCTTCTGCTGCATCCTGCCAACGTATCCTAAGGAAATAACTTTTCCTGGCCTGAAGTCCAGTAATTCTTTTATCCACTTAAGTAGAGACACCACTAATTAACCACCTTCCTCAACGCAGAAATAGTATGAAAGCCTCTCTGCTTTCAAGCCTAATAAATCATTCAATGTAACTAGACTGTCTTCTCTTTCAAATTCAGTTACATTTAAAGGGCTTTCAAAGTTTAGCACAGAAATATGCTTCCCTTGATTAAAACTGACCATGTTTTCACCTGTAGCCTAGTAGACTATCAATGCTACTTCTGCAATGCCCTGTTTGCATTATTTTCAAGGAGGAAAAAACAAAACAATTCCAGTTTGGTGTTCTCTCTGCTCTTTCCAGCTTTGCAATGGAATGCAGAGCCATGATTAGGAATGAACATCAGAAACATTAGACAAAGCACTACCACGCTATTTAAAGTAAGGAAAAAAATAAATTCTTTTAACCGTTCACCATTCAAATGAGTTTTCTGAAAGCCACTGATTGGTAAATGGTTCAACACTAATGGGAGATTTGGGGACAGGGAACATGGGTAAACGGTTCAGTACTAAAGGAGGGGATGACAACAGGCAGAGCTGGTCTGTGTCACTGTAGTCAAGAAGTATTTTATTCAGTAACTGAATATGCACAAACAAATCCTAAGTGTTTAATTAATGACGTAGGGATGAAATTTAAGTGATGAAAGCAGCAGTCTCCATCTTTTATTACTGCTTTCAAAATAGTCATCTATGATGATGGAAATCACAAACATACAGGGAAGTCAAATCTCTATCTAGTTTGGTTAGGTTATGGAATTTTTACTTGTATACATAAGGAAAAAGATATCAACTTAAGAACTGCCCTATAAAGATTGAACAAAATTTTAAACAAGTACTTGTTTACAAGAGCAATCAGTTGAAGGCAGATTCTTTACGTAAGAAAAAGGTTGATCATGATGTAAATCACAGGCAGTGATTTCTACTCTCTCTGTGTTCTGCACTTAAAAACTAACCCAGGCTTTTCCCTTGCACTGGCTGATATTCAAACACAGTTAGGACCATAGCCATAATATCTTCCCAGTCCATTATGGTCTTGGCAATCAGGAGAATAAAATTAATAAGGCAGTTACTAGAGCACAAGAGCAGATTCTTCATAAATGAGGTAAAAAAAACACAAACAGGAAAAAAGTGTAATAGGAATGAATAGAAAAAGTAAGTAAACATATGAGAGACATTGCTAGACTACTGCTTAAAAGTACCTCAAGAATTCAACCTTTTCTGGGTGCTTGTTTAAAACAATATACATATGAAATACCATTAAAAAACTGCTGTGAGACTGATTTATTATTACAATGTGACATGAAAGTGGGGATGATCTTGCAGATATCAGAAAAAAAAAGACATATGTTCTTTTCTTCAAAATATTACTGATACATATTCCTAAACATATTCTTAAATATTATTTCGTAGAAGGGTTTCATCAAGGGATTCAAATCTGAAGATTCGGTTATCACAGTTTTGGATCTTCCTAAATTGAAAAACAAACAAAACAAACAAACAAACAACCCCAAACCTACAAACCCCTGATTTCTTTAGCGATGGGCAAGAATCTTTTCTTCCAATATACCCGAATGAAGAAGTAAGTGAAAGAATACTGATAGTTATCAGGTTGTGAGACAAAAACAGCACATCCAGTTGATAAGAAAAATGATGTTAAAAGCTTCAAAGCTGAAGACAGAAGGTAGACATAAGTTTGTGTAAGAAAGAGAAGGCAGAAGGAACAGAACTGTACTACACTTTAAAGTCTTCTCAATACAAGACAGATTTCTCCACACTAACTAAAAGCTTCCTTAGTGTCTTATATAACCCAACTTAATACAATTTGTATTTCCAGACTTATTAAAATACATGTTAAGAAAAACCGTGAGCAACCTTCAGCAGTCACCAGAATCAAAATCCATTTGTTTTTTTTCAGATAAAGGTCTCTGCTAACCCAACTGTGGAGTATGGAGACTGGCAGCAAGCATAGACAAAGTAATCCGTGGAGTTATGGAAGTTCATCACCTTGATTTTGAGCCTATCATTTTTCTTACGGCAGTTTTTCTTTACTTGTTTAACAATCACAGCATTTATTCTAACAGTATTCTGAACAGCTATCATTCAAAACATTTAAAATACAAACTTGTGCACTTCTTAAAGAACTGCATCAGCCATACATCCACAAAAAGGTTCTAGGAAAGGAGTTACCTTTATCAGGGCTGCTGGCATTCACTTCTGTTTTTTCTTTATAATTTCATTAAGAGTTACACAAAGAGCATTGGTAGAATAAGTTAATCATGAAGTTTTTCCCCACTCTGTTTACATGAAGGCAGTAAGTGCCGTTCCACCACTAATTCATACTACATGTTGCTTAGCAGACTGCCTTATTTGAGTACTGAATCACCACGTAAAAATGTAATTTCTGAAGCGATTTTCTTATATATGCCTTTATTTATTTTAAAATTAAATGCTAAAAGTTCAACCTGAACATAAAATAATTTATAACCAGATTCGAAATGGCTGCAGAAATGAAGCCTTACTTTTTGCCAACTTCAAAAATACACAGAGATAATCAGGAAGCCATCAGTAAGTCACACTGAACAAAGAACTTAAACCTCTATTTTTAAACTAATTGTTTCTCTTGGAAGTAAAATGTCTACATACCAGTTCACATCATTTAATTCCAACTTGATTAAAAGCCATTACGTACTGAAAAGGTACGAAGACCAGAAAACAAGATTAAATAAGGCCATGGAACAGTTTTGACCGCTATTACTATCATCCAGGCAAATTAAAAAAATAAAAGTAGAAAGTGATGCCATTGTTCAAAGGCTACTCGACACTCAAACTGGAAACAAATACTTCTAAACATATTTGCACAATTAAATCGAGATCAACAAGTCTGACTCCTTTGCCAAAGCAGGCTCCCCAGACCAGGCTGCACAAGTAGGCACCCAGGTGGGCACTGAACCTCTCCAGAGAAGGAGACTCCACAATCTCTCTGGGCAGCCCATTCCAGTGCTCCATCACCCTTTCATGAAGTTCTTATGCACATTTGTGCAGAACTCCCTAACACAGTTCATGGCCATTTCCCTTCATCCTATCACCACACACCACTGATAAGGCCCTGCCCTCATCCCTTTGTCTCCCACACCTTAGACATTTATAGACATTGATCAGATCCCGAGGCTTCTTTTCTCAAGGCTAACAGACCCAGGCTGCTCATCCTCTCCTCTCAAGAGAGTTACTCCAGACCCTTTATCATCTTTGTGGCCCTCCACTGGACTCCTTCCAGGAGATTCCTGTCTTTTTTGTATACCAGTATGCTATATGTTAGCATTCTAAGATTAAAACTTTTGGGAAAGTGACTTACAGATATTCTCCACAGAAATTATCAGCATTAATTCACTGCTTGATAATTCTTCATTGCATTTAGCTGTCTAGAAATTATTGATCAAACACCTTTTAGATTTGGCATTTTCAGCGCAGCTACAATACACCTTTACATAAAGCAAAGCTGCAGTGCATAATTAATACTGGAATGAAATGCCCATGACTTCCTGTACACATCTTCTAGCACTTTAGCATTCCTCCTCCACCGTTCTCCACTTGAAGGAAGCCAGATGACACTTGCTAAATCTTTATTTTGTCTGCATTTTGCCAGCATCTGCTGCCTCAGCCTACTAGCACCATCCATGCTAGCCTTGACAAACCAATGCTGTGCTCAACGCACACCTGGGTTTATCTGTACCTATGGAATAGTCCCTCTGATTTGCTAATGTAATTATTTTGACCATACTCAACAGTTTCATGGGCCAACTTAGGAATGCTCTGAGCTCACATATAACTTGAAAAGCAGCAAAATCCAACTCAGTAATTACGATCTTTATTATTATTATTTTCTCCATAGTCATACTGATGATAACTATTTAGAGAGGAAAACCCTACCTGATGAGTCAAAAAATTATGGTCAATGATAGTTTTCTAGGGTAAAATTTCAATTTTGATCACAAAATAAAACTTGCTTTACTCTCCATTTGCTGCAGTGAGACTGAAGATGGAGAGAACAACAAAACATGAAGAAAACCCATAAACCTCCCATTGGGATAAAAGCCAAAAGGTAAGGATTTCACAGTAGTGACTCACCCATTGTAACTACCATATTAATGGTTAAAATATTTTAATGTATTAAGAACTGCTTTCCTTTCAGGAATTAATATACAAAGACTTTTCCCCCCCTCACTAATGAAATGGACGTCATCACATACTAACAAAGAAAGAAACCAAAACAATGGAGCAGCAACTCTTATTCTCTTCCTGAGGATAAGTACTGCCATCATAGGGGACAATACGGATCAACAGTAAGAGCCACTTCTAATTAGCTCTCTGCACATCCTGGTGGAGTCCTTGAGGGAAGGGAGCAGCAAATCACAGTATTTAATTAAAAACAAAACAAACAAAAAAAAACAACCAAGGGAGTATTTAAGAGCTTTGTGGAGACCTAAAGGGGGCTAAGGGAGGATACCTTGAATTTTTTCAAATGGGTTTTCCAGTTCAGATAAAAAAAAAAAAAATCTTCAAGTAAAAGTAAAATATTCATTTATAAAACTCCATTTGAAGTCTTCAGGATCAACATTAAGGGATGGGAGAGATAAATGGCTTGGAACGTCTTCCTGCTCCCTGCCATGGGAAGACAGTTTGGCAGACAGATATTAATAAGTCCGCATGCTGAGGCTGCCTCAGCTATTTGCAGAATCAGAACAGAATACATTCACTTATGGTGATATGACTATTAAAGGGATACAAGGTGAACCTTGCGAAACTGTTTTGGCAAAAGAGTGTGATGTGGAAGACAACGACAACAAAAGTGTTGCTATTTTTGAAGTAGGAATGTAGTAAATTGAAAATGGGAATGGAGCACATGTTTTGAAACCTGATAGCAGAACAATAACATCATCATTTTGGCTGCTCCAAACTCGGGGCCTCAAGGAAAATCAATACAGAGAACAAACTGCGTTAAGTATTTTATTCTCTAACCAAAGAGGGCGAGGTAAGCCAGATTCTTGAAAACAAATAGACACCATAACAAATTTTGTTTTCGTGATAACTGAGCTGAAGGCAGTGGCGGCTCCAAGTTCTGAACATCAAAGCTGAACACAGAGCACAAAGCATTTGGGTGCATTAGGGAGAAAGCTGTCCCCGACGCTCTTTCCATTCTTGGCATGAGAAGTGATTTTCTTGGGTCATTGAACGCATTCAACCAGCGGCTTTTGCCAAAACTCAAACAGAACTTCACCTCAAAGGACCCAAAGCAAGTTTGTTGGTTTTTTTGTTTGCTTTTTTTTTTTTTTTTTGCCTCCAAACTAAAGATAAAAACACCGTGATTTCAGTAGCAGACTTCAGTTTAGAAAAGCGGCCCCGATCGCCCACTAAAGCGGCGGCCGCTCTCTCGGTTAGAACGGATATCGGGAGGCAACGGCCGGCCCCGACGCGCGGCTCCGGGCACCCTGCAGGCCCCGCTGTCTTTCAGCGCTGCCGCGAGCAGAAACAAACCGAGAAACAAAGCGGCTCTGACGGCGAAGCACAGCACAGCCAGCGCCCAGAGCGCTGCACAGGGCGAAGCCCGAGTTCTGTCCGGACGCGTCCCCAGGGAAACCCGCCGCAAGATGAACCCCCCCCGCCCGCAGCCCCTCACCTCCCCAGCGTTCCGCGCCCACGCTCAGCTCCGCCGCGTCTCCCGGAGCCAGCCCGGCACCCACCTTGGTTCCCAAAGAGACTCCACAGCTTGGCGAAGATCAGGCCCATGCCTGGCCCAGGCTCACCTCGCAGCGCTCGGAGCCCAGAGAGGCGGCAGAGAGTACAGCGGCGGCACCGGGCAAACGCGACGACGGGAGGGCGGGCGGACGGTTGAAGGGGCGGGCACGAGCGAGGCCCCGCCCCTGGCCGGGGGCCGCCCCGACTCCCACGCGGCCGCCGCGCTGCGTCACCGTCTGCGTCATCACGTACGCCCCCGCAGGTGGTGGCCGTGCCGTGAGGCCCCGCTAGGCCGCGCTGGAACGTCTCTAAGCCGGGTCCCCGGCCCCGAGGCGTGTGCGCCGCGCTCGCCCTTCACTGCGGCCGGAGGGCCCGATGGCTGTAAAGGTTTTCTTTCCTATGGAATAAAGCAGTGACAAATGATGGGGCTGTGGGCACCGTTGTGTGGGATGAGTTTATTCGCCAGTACTACACGTGGGCTCACTGCCCGCAGCGCTGCCCCACCCGTCGCGTCTAGCGGGAGGGCCGCCGCCCCTGCGGTTGCCATGGTCACAGCCGGGCCGCCACCGCCCTGTCCGTCTCCAACCAATCATCTCGGACGTGGGGGCGGGACTTCCGGCGGCCGTCCCGGAAGAGGCGGGAGCGGCCCGGCACGAGTTACAGGTGGGAGCAGGGACTGTGAGGTGGGGGCAGGGGTGAAGGTTTGAACGCGAAGTCGTGCTCGGGACTTACGTGTCCTGCAGTGCTTCTGTGCTGAGCTCTGTGCCCAGCTGTAGCTCCCGGCAGGAGCACGGGGACGTTTATAGAGGGAGGATGAATTCAGCTATCCATCCCAGCGTGGAGGATGTGATGTGCGTTGTCCTTTCTCATTCGAAAGCAGTTGTGTTCCTTCAGGTCTTCCATCACCTCTCTCCGAACCTAAGCTACGTTGTATCTTTCCTGCAGCTGCCGGCATTGCAGCTGCCCGCATACGGTGCTGAGGCTGCCGGTTGTGCGGGTGTGCTCTGAAACCCCAATTTGTATGTTATTAAAGTTTCCAGGTTCCATTTCTTTTGACTGCTCGTTTTAGCAGAATTGCTCATCGTTAGTGTCTCTTCCTCTTGGGGAGGCAGGATAGGTACTGACAGGATGAGGGGAAATGGATTTAAACTGAAAGAGGGTAGATTTAGACTAGATATTAGGAAGAAATTATTAACTGTGGGATACTGGGACGGGTTGCCCAGTGAGGTCCTGAGTGCCGTCACCCTGGAATTATTCAAGGCCAGGCTAGGTGGAGCTTTGAGCTGCCTGGTGTAGTGGGAGGTGTACCTGCATATAGCAGGAGGATTGGAACTGGATGATATTAAAGGTCCCTTCCAACTCAAATCATTCTATGATTTTTCTGATACAAGTTGTAACAATATTGTTAATATGCATCCTTAATGCATACCCCTGCCCTGCAATTTTTGTTTACACAACAGAAAGAGCTGTGTCTCTGAACCAAGGAGATAAGAAAGTTCTTCTGAGTCTTTATCCTGATGAAACAGGAGGTCTTGCTTGGAATCGGTCACTGCATATGCAACATACTTGTGGGAAACTTCTTTATTTGTAACATACATCTTGGAAAAATTCTGCGTATGTAACACAGGTAATGTATATAATCAGAAGAATTTTTGTGTAAGCTATGCGTGATAGGATTATCCCTATGCATCCAGTGCTGATATTAAAGAATTTCTGCTTTCTAAGCACAGCAATAGTGGATTTCTTGTGTTTGCCACATGAATGCATGCGTTGAGTCCACGCTCTTTACTGTTCATGACAGAGAAGCTCTTCTGCAGTAACACTGTGTACCAGGCCCTGTGAAGTACTGAGGGTCTTTTTGCTTTTCCTGTTGTGTATTCCTTGAACAAACACTTGGTTAAGTGTTCATTAACTGTTGTTAAAAACACAGCTAATAGAATCACCAAGGTTGGAAAAGACCTCTAAGATCATCTGTTCCAACCATCCACCTACTACCAATGTTTCCCACTAAACCACATGTCCTTTAGTACCACATCTAAACATTTCTTGAACACCCTTGAGGACATGGGGCTGTTCTGGGCAGTCCATTCCAGTGCCTACTCTTGGAGAATAAACTTTTCCTTGTGTCCAACCTCAATCTCTTCCTCCTTGAGGGCATTCCCTCTAGTCTTGTTGCTAGTTACATGGAAGAGGAGGCTGACGCCTACCTGTTGACAACCTCCTTTCAGGCAGCTGTAGAGAGCAATAAGGTCTCCCCTGAGCCTCCTCTTCTCCAAACTGAACAAGTACCCTCAGCTGCTCGTGGTGGTACTCCACATCCCTCACCAGCTTTGTTGCTCTTGTCTGAACATTAGCCAGGGCCTCGATGTGTTCCTTGTAGTGAGGGGCTCAAAACTGAGCACAGTACTCAAGGTGTGACCTCACCAGTGCTGAGTCAGAAGATCACTTCCCCATTCCTGCTGGCAACACTATTTCTGATACAAGCCAGGATACCATTGGCCTTCTTGGCCACCTGGGCACACTGCTGGCTCATGTCTAGAGCACTGACCAACACCCCCCTGTCCATTTCCTCTACACAGTCTTCCAGCCACTCTGCCCCAAGCCTGTAGCTTTGCCTAGGGTTGCTGTGGCCAAAGTGCAGGACCCAGCACTTGGTCTTATTGAACTCTATCCCGTTGGCCTCAGCCTCGCTATCCAGCCTGTTCAGATCCCTGTGTAGGGTCTTCTGTCAGACCAACACTTGGCCAACTTGGTGTCATCTGCAAACTTACGCTCAATGCCCTCATCCAGGTCATCAGTAAAGATATTGAACAGAACAGGCCCCAATACAGACCTGTGGGGGACACCACTCGTGACTGGTCGCTGGTCATGAGATGAAGTAGAAAAAAATTACAAGAAGTAAAAGCATTTTGGGGATGGACAGTGTAATCCTTCACCAGACAGCTTGAACATTTTCCAATAAGAATCAGCTGATCTATTCCTACTATGATTTAAATACACTCAAGACAAAAATAGTGCTTGCATAATTTTTTAAGCCTATATGAAAAAAAAACCAACCTGTCCACAGTCACATGTTGTCCATGAGGAAGCTGGAATAATATGAACTGTAGAGAAAGAGGTTAAGTTTCAGGAAGAGCAAACAGAGAAAGATAATCTCTAAAAATGCGCAGATAGAATGAATTGAATAATAGAATAATTAGAACAAGAGTTTCAAATGTGGGACTCAGAAGAGTCAAAGCTAAATTCTGTGAGGAACCTCTGTGAGTGAATTTTACTGGTAAATGGCAATTAGGGACTTTAATGGGACGGGATTTAGAGGTGACGACACCTTCTTCATGTTTCAGACTGATACTGTAGCCTCATCTGGGAAACTTCCAACATCAAAGATTCTGGCAGCATCTTTGCAATGTGAATGTTCTGCACTGCAGATTCTAGGCATGTTACTTAGCCTATGCTGAAACCTAATAGCTGATAGCATTACAGTCATAATCTAATCAATGTTTGGATTTTTAATCAAAATATTGCACTTTTAAAATGGAAGAATCAGAAAGTTGTGCAGCTCAGTTTGTGGTTATATCTTATGTTACGTTTGTAAACTTGAGTATTATGATGAAAAGTGCCAAGAAAATACGTTGCTTGTTTCATTTCTTTACCAGCAGAATTTAAACACTAAAGGAAGATGTCTTTTTTCCCCAAAATCTCTTTTCAACATGAAGTTGAAGAGTATCTCAGCAAAGTGTTCAGAAATAAGGAGGTATGTGAAACAGATACCACTGCTAATCATAGCAAATGCTTCACTAATTGAACACTTCATTATTTTCTGTAACCTTAATGCTTTAAAATAAGGCATTGCCTTGACATTATCCACAGATTTTTAAATATAGTCCTATTTATATTATAAAATTATTCTGTAGGGCTGTTGGCTCAAAATAATGTTAAATATTTAACCTAAATGGTATAAATCTGAGTCTTCAGTTTTGGATCCTGCTGAAGGATGATCATGTTGGAGATTAAGCGTACATATATTATTGAGAATATTGAGAAATACTCCTTTACCCAGGGCAAAACCAAAAATACTATAGATTAGTTGTGATTTCCTAATGTCAGCTGAAACAAAAGTGATGTTTTTGTATATATTTTTAAAAGTTAATTCATATTTTTGAATCTGCTTGTCCATCTTCTCAGGTATATTCTTTCTACAGTACCTACAGTATTACAGAACTCACTCACGATTGTCTTCAGTATTTGCTGCAGACTATTTGGAGTGATTTGGCCATTTTCCCAACAAGTCCTTTTCTACAACATTCTAAGGTTATCTCTGAAACTAGTTCTCTATTGCATAGACATTCCTCACTACTGCGTGCCATACAACCATTATTCCTTCATTTCTGCTTAATGTTTATTTTATGTTATGCTTCCACAGAGCAAGAGGTATTGTGTGAATCTCTTTAATCCTTATTTTAAAATCTCTCCTTTCCCTGTCAGCTTATAACTGCTTTAGGTACAAAGGAGGCAGAGAGTAAATATCAATCTCTGTTAAGTCATCTATCTCATCCACCAGCTATCACAACTGTTAGAGTTAACACTAACTTGGCCTCTGTGAAACACATGAAAAAATTGCTGCTTGAAGAGATCCAGAAGGTTTGTGCAATTTCTTTCTTAAAGCAAAAATAGCAAGATGTTTCGTCTTTTGCCTGATTAAGAGAGCTTTTCATTACTGGAAACTATTCTTTAACTTAATAGATGTCCACTACTATTAAAAATGTGTAGACATATTGATTTCCTGTCAGCATTAAATTTAATAACATTCATCATCTAGCAGTTACTAGATGTTGTTCAGCATTAGTTCAGCATCTAATACATAAAATTAACAAGGGAAAAAGAAAGACAATCTTTTTTTCTACACGGCTGATAGAGACCTTAGATAAGCTTAGGTTGCCACTGTAGTAAATACAGTACAGACATCTAAGTCTGGAGAAGATGGTAGAAGAAACAGTTAAAATCTGTAGTTTGATATACTATGTTCAGCAACTTATTTTTAGTAAAGATTAAAGGAGATTGAATTAATATTTCATTCTGAAAACTGTTTAGGAAATGGAGAGAATCTGCATGACGAAAAATCTGCCAGAGTGATGCCCTGCAGCAGCCATAAGTTTTTTACTACTTGTTA